GCAAGTCAAACGGAGAGAGGAGAAAGAAGGATCCGAATAAATGAACTTCAGAGACTATTGGCATCACGGGGAAAGACAGTGGAAGCAAGCACAGAAGGCAGACATGGAGAGCCTGCAGGATGGAGGCAGGCTAAAATAAGACGAAGGTGGGTGTGAGATGGTGCAAGACAGACAGAGCTGTCTCACAGCCAAATGCTCACCTTTTAACCTTCTTATTGTTATGCTTTCTTCAATATGCATTTTATTTATACTGCTAACTACATGGTCCAGCTTTTTTGTTTGTTTGTTTGTTTATTTTTTTAAAGATGTTGCTGCAGAATGTCTGTTATTATTTCTATAGCTGAGTCAGACCTGCTGCAAGAACCTGATCAATTCACTCACGCTCATGATGGACCTGATATCCTCGTGTTGGTTTTGTTCCCACATCATCATAATTACTGTTGCTCCAGGTTCAACATTGCAAGGGACCAATCACATTGTTGTGATGTCATAGCTTTGCAACTTCGAAAAAAAAACCCGCCTTGACAAAAGAAAAACCTGTACTACATCCAGCAACTGGAATTATCTACCCTTAAGAAGGTCGCACATTTCAGGATACTTTTCTTTAATAAATGGTAAGCATTATACAGATTTTTTTATTTTTGGGGGGGGGGAACATTGGCATTTCATATATGAATTCATCGTTTGGCTTGCCATTTGTTTGCTAGTGATAGGCTACTTGATGACAGCATTACCTAGCCAATGTTCTCTATACAGAGCATTTTATAATATATCATAATACATTGACATTAAAGTACAGGTAACTATAGCTGTCATAAAAATGTGGTCAGGCAAAATTGCAGTAGCTTCCCTGATCATTTTACTAACATAAGTAAAGTGAAAAGGATCTAAATAGCCTAGCCTAATGGTTGTGTGCTGAATTAATGAATAAAAAGAATCAACTGTAAATATAATAAACTGGCCCATAGGTTTGGAAATTGACTTGAATTGTCTGTCGAGATTAACTTTAATTTAAAAAAAGAGCAAAATTTGTCCTGGGCAGTCATAAGAAAGCTTGTCCTGGGCTGATGTGGAAACAACACCAACACGAAGATAACAGATCGTGTGTAAAATAATCACATATTGTGGGAGACATTTCCACTTTCATTGATAGGATTGACACCAAACATTCACTTATGGTCTAATTTGATAACTTTGCTGAACTTGGCTGCAACATCAGCACCACATCATAGTGACAATATTAGCACAAACCTTTGCTGTGGCCGTGTAGGGTGATAATGAAATGCTGGCCAAAAAAAAAAAAAAGCACATACTGTAGGAGATGTTTGCTTTCAGAGCTTTTAGTTTTCCTACACGCAGTTAAAACTGTCAAACCACTGCATGAAAATAATGCTTTTTTTAAAACAACAAACTTTGTCTTTTTTCTTAACATAGCCTAACTTAATTTGTCATGTTGGTTAAAGAGAAAGAATAAACATTTTCTGAATTGACCTGCCTGCTATTCAGACCTTTCACCAGCTAAAAACCTGGTTAGCTCACAGGTTGACCGAGCGACCACTTGCCACAAGGCCAAATACAGCAGCCCTTCGCCATTCTCTCTCTCTCCAGATTTTCCTGTCTAACCTTCAGTGCGCTAATGAGTAAACCAAGAAAACAACAAAAGAGTCTGCTTGTTCCCAGTTGATCATATTTGGATTTCCTGACTGTAATCATCCACAAATGTGTCAGAAAGCATGGAAAAAATAACTTTGTGAATTTGTGAAATAACAAAGTGCTACAATATTTGACACCTACTAGTAATACATAAAGGTTTTCTCAATTCATAAACAACATTAAAAAGCCATTTTCACAGGTTATTTTGCATTTGATTTATTGCACTGAATATTTACTAGCAGAATTCAAAAAGTTATAATCCAGTTAAACTAAACAGCTGCACTATTGCAGTACTGGAAATACCAAAAGCCTACCTGGGTAGCCATTAAGAACCCGTGTGTCATAAATTAATGGTCTCTACAGAGTCAAACAGATCAGATAGAGATGTGTAAAAATATAGATTTTAGGGCTTGGCATGCGTTAGCACACACAAACACACGCACACAGAGACACATTTAACCTCTCTGCTGTTTAAAATCATCAAATGAAAGTGATAGCTTCTATTAAAGGATAGTTCATATTTACAGTGAGCTTTTAACCGGACTCGGTCTTCCTTTTTATGAGGTGATATCCTGCAACTAGGCAGATGCTGCAGATGTTTTACGTACAAAAAAAGTCTCCCGGCAGGATAGAAAGAAAATAACCTGTTGCCATCATGAGGACCAAGTAATTTACGTAATTTATAAACAAGACAATGAAGAAAATTATTTGTTTGATTTCATTTGGCTGAAGGTGAACATGAAACACACAACAGCTAAAGAACATGTTTGCATTCTGTAAGAAGAGCTGTCTAAGATGGGATTCCCATGTGAACAAACCTGTGTAAGCAGAGTTTATGATGAGCTTGTTAGGTTAAAAAAAAAGGCTGAGCTGGTCAGTGTAGCATCTCTTCTAAAAAGCCTAAGCTGACTGGTGTTTGTACGTATCATGTAGAAATCTTCTACCCTGGTGTCCATTCACAGCTGTAGGGTCCACTTACACAGGTTTTTATAAAACTAAATATTGTAACAAATTCATGTCACAGGATTCATTTACAGGACTTCATTAGATTTTTTTTCCAAATTCTTTTGCCTCAGGTTCAGAGACTATATCTATATTCATCTGTCTATTTTACAATTTTATTTTATTAGCACAACATCTAAAACGTCTTCCATAAGAAGGCAGCAGTTTAACCTTCTACCTGTAAAAGTACCACTTTTAATTTCACGCTGTGATCTCACTCCACTAGAGACCAACTTTACTAACTGCAGAGAAAGTACAGAAGTCTCTCCGAAAGAAAAAACAAGCCTGAATGTCTCATCACACTGCGGTGGATGATAAAGGCAGTATGGCACAATTTAATAGATACTGTATTAGGCTTGTGGGAAACATACTCAGATACTAAAATATACTTCTGGACTTGATACTCATATGGGTCCATCTCAAATCATAACATTTTTTTTCATTTCCAAGTCCAACCATTTCCAAGTTGTATAAAAATTGTATGGCCCAAAGCTTGGACATATATATATATATATAATGAATGCAATTAAACTTTTGTTTAATTTATCAAATAATCAAGATATTTTTGAAAAGTGTTCTGCCTCTCACGTTCAGCATGCTTTTAATGCCTCATTGTAAATTTAGTATATTGTTCTGATTGATGTTACTGTTTGTGTTGTTTTAATCTTCGTCTTTTTACTCAGTGGTACTGAAAACACTGTTACATTTAAAGTATTTTTCTTTAAACCCTTTTGTGTTATTACACTAAAAGTGCCGCTGATTTGTGTGCAAGGTGCTGGGGCTTCACAACTGAATCAATTTTAAAATTGATCGTGACTTTGGTGAATAAGCAAAATCAGGTGCTTCTAAGATCGCTACCTGGCGACATGCCTGACATGAAGAAATTACAAGGTAAGATTGTGGCAGAGTCATGTCTGCACCGCAAAGCTACACAAATTATTCAACTGCCTAAAAACATACCGCAAACTGCAGTATGATGAATGCATTGAGGACGGTAAAATAATGCATCCAACGTCAACTCAATGTATCTGCATTAACCATCCAGCGTACAAAGATGCAGCTGCATCCATTCGGCCAAAGAGAAGTGTCCACTGAACGAAGGCATCAAGAAAATCAAAGTACCAGACAAAACAAGCCTGCTCTGTAATTTCCCAGAGTGAAGAACATCACAGGGGAATTAAAGAGGAATTGAATACGTTGCTACGAGATTTATTCACATCCATCGTTCAGTTACAATGAATAGAATGAAAGACAACTTATTTGTCTCCAAATAGGTTTTAATTAAAAGCAATGTAACCCAGCGTAAAGGTGAAAGCAGTGGTCTGTTGATTTATTGTGTGTTAAGTTTGGGTTTTTTAAATTACTATTTTTATTTTTCCTTCTAGATGAATTTAAGACCAGTTTTGTTTACACATGTGAAAATGTTAACGCAGTATTTTCTTTACATGACAATGCAACAACATTTTTAACACACAAATAAATAAATATTTGTGATAAATGATTGTTATCCTAATATTGATCAATTGTGCAGCACTATGTACTGAAATGTACATAGAAATCCATAAACATTAGATACTATTTTTGTTAATGTTTATTGATTAGGGCTGTGGGGCTCAAATATCAGCAGCACAGGAAGATAAACTACTGCAGACCTGATTGACATAAAAATGAATCTCTCACATTGTTACATTATTTTCTACACAACAAGTGCCAATTCTCACCTCTTTATTACTCTTGATAAATCACGTGCAAATCTCAGAACAAGAAGACATCTGAAAGAGACTGTTTGATTTAGAAAATACTTTAATGCTATTTAAAGAGAATTAAATCAAATCGATCAATAAAGCACTTCAATGATGCAGAAGAGTAAAACATTAGAAGAACAGCATTGTGCCGACATATTAAAGCCTTAAAACTTTGCAGCATTGCACAAAAATGTGTCCATTTCACATGCTGCATTTATCAGTTTTTGTATTGCTATAAATGTAAGTCAGCATAGCCAGAAAAACAAGATCTTGTCATCTCTCGTGAGCACAAACCTTGACTAAGCCTTTCTATTTTCATCTCACATGCATCCACAAACAGAAGCTGTGCACACACTCGTGTCCCTGGTCGCCAGCATTAATCACTGAAATGTTCAAATTGCTGTTAAATTGTCCGTGGTGCAAAGTAAACCTTAAGCCTGAAATAGAGACAGGAATGACACTAGATTTAAGCTCTGCGCTCTTAGAGAGTGGCTCTATGTGAATGCGTGTATGAATGTTTTATCATCTCTGAGATTCATACACAGCGTCTGCCTCTTCGCAGAGCTCTGATTAATTATACAATATCTGACCTCTTAATGTTCACTTTGTTAAACTCTCTCCAGCTCCCGTTCTGTTCCTCTTAATCTCTTTTGATCTCCTATTCCTCCTCTCAGCTCTGATCCTGCGTAGAAACGCAGAAAGAAAGTGCACGTTTGTTCCTTTCGTACTGTGCATACCATGACCTTTTAGTCTCGTTTCAATAAAGCGCAAACTGGCACTTTTAGTAGAAAATGTGGGACATAAATATTTTCTGCATGACAGAAGGAAGAATCCCAATAAGTGTTTTCTCTTTTATTGGTAACGATTTTCTAGGTGACCTCCAAGCTGAAATGATTGGTTGCCCCATGTTTTGGTGGATCAGTTTCATGAGAATTGACTGTATGGGGTTGTGACAGATGAATGGCCTGGTGACACCTTGTGCTGCGCAAATACTATTAAAGCATGATCAGGATTCAATTTAAATGGTTCCGAGCTATTATTTCCTAACATTTAGCAAATGTCTTTGGAGCCTTTACCAGATGCCGCTTGGTAAAGATTAGGAAATAACTGCAGGTAGTCATTTCTGGTTCCGTGTTTTTAGTTGGTGTTGGCTCTTCAGGATTTCAAAGGGCTCTGAGTTGGTTCAACCTTACCGTAAAGCCTTTAAACATGTTTTACTTGTCAGGAGTTGACCTTGCAGGGATAATAAAGTACTGATGACATGCATTTTACAGATTCATTCATTGCTTGAAGTTTTCTAATACATTTTGATTTTGGAGACAGTGCTCATTTTTCTCTTTGACACGTACAAGGAAAAGATCCTCGAGATCAAACATTGCCTTTATTAAGAGAATGTTTCAAGAATAGTGTTTTTGAATTTTCTTTTTGTGTTTGACACACATTTACTAATGCAATCCCACTGGCATGCTCAACTAAGCATTTGCCTTTCTGTTACTATTCAAACATATATAGATTCAGACATAGATCTATAGGAGCTTCATGTTTTCATCTCCTTGACCAAGTTGCCAAATTGGTTATGAAATGCTATCCACACATTATGTGCAGTAGGTAAAGCTTATATTTATTATTCACTCACCAGCTGTGTACACCATCTGTCAGTTCTTACAGTTAAACAATAGAGACATCATAGCAGACAGGCAGCAGAATTACAACAATGTTTCGAGAATAGCTTAACCTTTAATGACTTGCCATATCTGTCCACATAAAGACAGTATAGCTGCAGTAGCTACAAGCTGACATATCGACAAATATATCATTTTCCTCTTGTTATTTTGCTTCATCTGGAACGTTTAATGATACTGTGCTATTATGAGCACACCCATGCTTTCCCTACTGTGTCTGCAGTGAAAATAGTTTGTTAGGATCTTCTAGAAAAATGTGCTTTTGGGTACAAAAGACTGCATACGAATATGAACCTTTTAAAGAGACAATGCGATGGATATTGAACTATGGATAGAGTCATCAGGAATGGTCACCTTTGGACACATGTATTTTTCTTATGTATGTGTGTGTTTTATTTTTCTTGGGGGGGGGGGCTTGTCTGCTTGTTTTGTTGGATTTTCAAAGATAATAAACTGGACTAAATGAAAGAGAACTAAGTTTAGGATTCTGGGAACACAGACTAGTCTGGTGGCATGCCATTTAATAGAAACATTCCCATTTCCATTCATGAATACATATACATTTAAAATTACCTAACAAAAACATAACTTATGATCACAGAGAAGCCCATTTTTATACAATGCATTTCAGCAACTCCAATCCCCCTTTTGCTCTCTACTGTACAGTATGTGCATTGTTTACTAACCTGTAATCCAAACCTGCTATAACATGATTGGCCTATAGAGCTCCTACTACAACAAACAGAAACCACAAGATTATATAGATTAAAAGGGTTTGTTCTTTGGAAGGTTAGAAATCAAAATCCCAGTATCAGGAGCTATATGGAGACAGTGGAAGGTGCATTTGTGCAGTAACACAAAAAAGTGTGCTTGCCGTCAGAGTGATCTCTTACGCTCGGTTAATGCTACTCTTGTCCTTGAGCTACAAATGCAAATGACAGCTAGCTCCATTTTCCCCAACACACAGCTGGAGAAGCATTTTAAAGCATCACTTTCCACCTCTTTTCACCTCCTCTGTTGTTCCCAAACACACTCAACATTTACACTGTAGGAGTGTTTCTGCTGTGTAGGGCAGTAATGACGCATAGCTCACACGCATTAAAACTTTCCACCTCTGCCCCTCACACTACAGAAGCATGTCATTTTCAGACAGGAAGGCCACAACCTTGACTTGATTTATTTACCTCTCTTCTCCACATTCTGCTCTCCTAGTGTCTGTTTTTAACCATTTTCTTCTGCATGTTTGTCTCAGTGCCACAACTTATCTCTTTAAGGGTTAGGAAACACTCCTTGCTTCTACAGGCATTTAAAAAGTCAGGCTGGTGAGAGGTGAGAGGGACGATCTTGATGCAGAACCCTGATGGATGGTCCTGACCTTGCGCTGCCGGCGAGAATGTGAATGTGTGCGCGCTTGTGTACTCACATAAGCAACCTTTTGCAGAGACATGACAAGGCCATTGATTCTGGCCTATAATTGGACGGCATCACTGTAGACGCATCCAGAGCAGGCCTTGCATGCGTATGTGTCATCACTTTAACAGGAAGTATTTACTGAGCTCTGCTTCAGAAATCGATTCACATTCAAAATGCGGGACTTTGGATCTGTAAGTGTTTGAAAGTTATCTTGCATCTCAAACTATGAAATCCTAGGATATTTTAGCAGTATTCTTGGGTTGGGTTAGTTTATTTATATGACAATTTTTGTATATGGTATTTGCTGAAATTTGCATAGTTGCATTCAAAAGCAAACCACTCAAATTTAAGTATGTCAGACACAACCATTCGGAGAGAAACCATTGGCATTACAGAAACACACACGACATGCCTTATTGTGCTAATACTGAACCCTATTACTTTCCCCAGGAAGTCTGGTGGAAAGGGGAAAGTAAAGAAAGGGGAAGAACTGTACAAAATAAAATGATTTTTATAAACAATTAGACTCAAAGAGACAGCAGAGCTGCTATTATTATTAAAACACACACACACACACACACACACACACACACACACACACACCAAAACTTAGAAGATAGTTAAAAATTAAAGTAAGCCAAACAGTCGAAACAGAATGATTAAAAGAGAAAGAGCAGTTGTTCACAAACACACAGGCCATATGCTGTAAGAACAAAAGCACTCTGACGTCGGCTGTGTCCTCTCCTTCAGCTGAAGAACAAGAGCTGATTTCTGAATGGAGCCAGGTCAGTTTGTGTTTAAGCTTTGTTTTTTGTGCTATTTTACTTTGTTTTCAGTCTTTGATAAGTTAGTTTTGGACGTCAAAGCTACTCAAATAAACCACTTCATAAGATTACTACGTCATATAAATGGTAAATGGTAAATGGCCTGTATTTATATAGCGCTTTACTAGTCCCTAAGGACCCCAAAGCGCTTTACATATCCAGTCATCCACCCATTCACACATATGAAAAGATTCCTTTCTGACATGAAGATGTGGGAGTGAGGCTGGTCTCTCTACTGCCATAGGAGGTGTGTCATAGCATTGTTGCCAGAGAACACTTTATGTACTCACTGTGATGTCTGTGAGTGTTTCCACTTAAAAGGACCAACATATTCCAATGAACGCTGTCTTTCTCCACTTTTAAACTGAAGTTTAGTTAAGATTCAGAAGCAAAGTCAGTTACTTTCTAGCGTGTTTCACTTCCAAATATACATGTTAATATCTATCCATCTAGTGATCTTCTTAGCCACTTTTCCTATTCAGGTATCCCAGTGTTCATATGGTAAAAGCTAAGGTACAACCTGGACAGTTCACCAATCTATCACATAGAGACAGACTACCATTCAAGCTCACATTTACACCTATGGCCCATTGAGAATTACCAATCAATTTTTGGATGGTGGAATAAAACTGGAGCACCAGAGGAGAATGCACAGGCAGAAAGTGCAAACTCCCCAGAGCTGGTTGCTAGCTAATGGATTTGAACCCAGGACTGTCATGCTGTGAAGCAACAGTGCTAACCACTACGCCAATGTGAAGGAGACCACATCATAGGCTTTTATGATGCTATATTCAGTTATATGAGAAAAATTCATTGGGCATATTCTGCAATCAATGTAGGGCATAAAATTACATCTTTGATTATGAAATTACAAAAAAAAGAAAATATGGAGAAGACACTTGGCAGGTGAAGGTGAATGCAGTGAATGTAAGATTTGAATATTGAATTATTCAAATATTTGAATAATTGAGTACAGGACTGTACAAAGCATATCTTTATTACAATTACTGATTCATTTTCTAGCCATGTTATTTATGTATTTTACGCATTACTGCTGTTAGTGCTCATCAGTAAATCACCAAATAGTTTTGAATTCATTTACTTCTCACTCTGTGTAAATAGGTTTATAAACTTGTGTTCAGTATTTTGTCCAGTCTGGTTTACTGTACTAAAATGTGAATATGATGCTGGGATTCATGTAGGATGCACGTTATTTTCTTCTTTTTGGCTGAACAGCACTCAGTCAGAGACAATCTGCTGTACAGTAACATATGAATGAACATCTGGAAAGATACAGCCCACTGAAACTAATTATTTTTCTAGCTGCCACACCAGTGCAACAGCATTTATTTAGTAAAGTATGACATAATCTTCTCTTAATAATGTCCTTCATGTTTATGTCTATGTTTGTGCAGTGTGTTATCTCAGTTAGATATATAAACAAGTGTTATTACCCAGAAACCAGTGCTGATTAGTATTTCGGTTGGTGGCTGCCAGGCAGCCAGTCAGTCTAGGGCAACCACCTCATTTTAGTGGATCTGTCCGTCCAAGACTGTGTTCAGCCATTCTGAACTTTGACCGAATGTTTAACAGCATTTTTCACAGAAAGCTTTTATAGCTTTCAGCTAAAAAGGACAATCAACTCTTAACCTCTCCCCTGTGCTTTTTTCACTGTCACTTTTTTTCTCTTTTGAGTCGCCAAATGCACATTTTGTGCTTTCATTGGGAAAGCTCCAACTTGGCAGTCTTTTCACATTGACTAT